CTAAATGCACAGAGCTGAACCGGCCGTCAGACATTAGTCATTAACCTGTCAGACGCTTCTGAGGAGAGTGATGCTAAACTGAGGTGCTAAACTGTCAGATGCTGTGATAAAGTGAAGGAGGACCCAAGCAGAAATGCAAGAATAATGATTTAATGAAGCTAACACAATAAAAGTCCAGGGTACCATATTTTATACCATTAAGGGCTCCTGATTATAAGGTACACTATCAAATTATGCATTTATTTTCATTAAAATGTGTGTTAAACTGTCAAATGCTTCTGAGGAGACTGGTGCTAAACTGAGGCTATAGTAGATGTGATTACAGAGATTTAGACGTGTCAGATGATGATGATAAAACTAGTTGTAGTATAATAGTAGTAACGGTTTTAGTAGCAGCAGTAGCACCAGTATTAGTAGTGCTAATAGTAGTAGTATCCACCATCCACTTTCTTCCCCTTAATCCATCTCTGACTGCCACCCCCCGACCCAGAAATGGATTAAGGGGATGGATGGATGGATGGCAGTCAGAGCTGCACCCGATGCACAGAGCACCAGCCCCTAACTGATCCTTCTGCAGGTGATGAGTCCACAGGAGCCTTGATTATTCAGCAGGGGCTTCAGGCAAAGTAGGGTTAAGTGTCTTTGCTCAAGGACACAATGACAGCAGTCATCAGTGGGAGTCGTGAACTAGGTCTTGTGGTGGGCTCAAACCCACGACCTTCAGGCTCAAAGGCCAATGCTTTGAGCTACTGTTGGTAGAGCATAGTAGCAGTAGCTTCAATACTAGTAGTGGTAGCAGTTATAGTACCAGCAGTAGTAGTAGCAGTAGCAGTAGCATTAGCAATAGCCGGAGTATTAGCATTATCAGTCGCAATAGCAGTAGCTAAGGGCCAAACACGGGAAAGAAGAGTCTCAGTTTTAATACAACCATTTTCCTCGAACTTTGCGACAGGCCTCTGACAAATACAGAAGGATTTTATCTGTATATTTTTCACACATAAACAAGTTTTAATTGTTTTTGTAAATATACTTCCTACGTTGTCTCCCTGTTTTCTCCTGTCTGTAGTAGTGTGTGTATTGTAACATGTTCTGTACAGTTTCACAGAACAGTGTATGCATTTAAGTACTATGGCTGCTCTTATAGTACCAGCAGGATTAATGGTAGTTGTATAGTTCAGTAGAAGTGGTTTCTTTTCCCACCATAAAGACAGAGTGACCAGAGAGCTTTAAAGAGAGCCGGCGGGTTAGATCCCTGCTCCATAAAGCACAGGGCCTCAGAGACACAGGCCTCTCAGCTCCAAACACAAACACACAGAGGAACACATGTATCCGCAGTTACACTACTGCTACCAGAGTAAATAATGCCACAGATGATAAAGGTGTCTCTGTTTTGTGACCTGGAAGGGAGAAACTCACGTCTTAAGTCAAAGTTGTAAGTGTAAGTTTTGAGTTTCAAAACCTTTCAAAGTTGAATCAAAATTGACAGAAAATGGTTCAGATGTTTATGATCTTGGACATGAATGCAGAAGTGTGAGGGGCCTTTTCTCAGATTTCCAAAACATTTTGATCTACAGCCTCAGTCCTTGATCTACAGTCTCAGTCCTGGGTCTACAGCCTCAGTCCTGGATCTTTAGCCTCAGTCCTGGATCTACAGCCTCAGTCCTGGATCTACAGCCTCAGTCCTACATCTACAGCCTCAGCCCTACATCTACAGCCTCAGTCCTGGATCTACAGCCTCAGTCCTGGACCTACAGCCTCAGTCCTGGATCTACAGCCTCAGTCCTGGATCTACAGCCTCAGTCCTGGATCTACAGCCTCAGTCCTGGATAAAAAGCCTCAGTCTTGGATCTACAGCCTCAGTCCTGGATAAAAAGCCTCAGTCCTGGATCTACAGCCTCAGTCCTACATCTACAGCCTCAGTCCTGGATCTACAGCCTCAGTCCTGGATCTACAGCCTCAGTCCTGGATCTCACCTCTAGAGCACAGTGGTTGAGAGCCTTTTAAAGCTGTGTGCTTTGCTCACTGCTTCATAAACCACCAACTCCTCAGAGACGGCAGCTCCGACCCGGCTCCACAGAAGTGTCTTTTATTGACCTACTTTCGAGGTGCTGCGAGGCTGATATATGGACCGTGGCGTCTCGGACAGAGGGGCTAGAGGGGCTGAATCAGGGGGGGCCTGGAGGGGCACGCATACCTCCGAGTTTGTAGACACAAGAGAGAGAAACGTGTGAGTCAGGAGGTGTAGAGGTGAAGAAATTCCTTGTTTTGTGACCAGGAAGGGAGAAACACACTTCTTTAGTCAAAATTAAGTCTAAGACCAAGTTTTGAGTTTCAAATCTTTTCAAATTTGTATCAAAATTGAAGAAAAAAAAAGGTTTACATTGAGCAAAATGGTCAGCTTTGTCCACCTACATTTAGTCAATGCAACAATAAAAGACTAAAGATTTCCAACCATGTTAAAGGCAAATGGGAGGATTTTCCCGAATTTTAGGACAAAACCGCCCGCTCCACTTTTTGAACCAAACTCCCTGGTCTTATTGATGAGCAGGTATCACCAGAATGACCTTAATGATCCACCCGAAAGTATAAAATCCTCCTATTTACCTTTAAGTTTCAAGTAATTTGGAAATACCAGTATTTTTGCTCGGTGTAAATGAGGCTATTGATTCTGCTGAAAGAATAGTTTTATGTAAGCAGTGCATGTTCCTGTTTAATATACAATAAATGACATTTCAAAGCAGACATAGTGTGTCCATCCTTGATCCAGACACAGTGTCTTCCATCTGTAGTTCTTGACAATATAATCATACAACATACATAATGAAATACAGTTCAGTAAAACGTCTCAATGTACAAAATACAATATCATTAACATTTAGCAGCAAACAAAGAATGTGAAAATTACTGGTATAAAGATAAAGCACAGTTTTTAGCAGTGACATATAAGCGTAATACAATTTCTTATAGTGCTTTGTAAAAGCTGGAAGCTGCATTAGCTTATAGGCTAATTACACATGGAGTAACCAACCATCTGGTGGATCACTTTTGAGTCTCTTTAAGTCATATCTGCTTAAAGAATGCATGGAACTGAAATCTACCTCATTGGGGCATCTCTATCACTCATTTTTATCATTGATAAAACTAGGGGGTAAAAAAAAAGAAGATTTATTTTTAGTGCTTATACATCTTAGAAAATCCCCTGAATATGACATTGCTTTCCTCAAGGAGTCAACATTAAAACATTTGAATGAGACAAACAGATGAAGCCACTCTATACCAACCGCTTATCGCACCCAAAACCAGGAGAGAAATCTTTTGGGGAAACTCTGAAATGTGGAACAAGGACATAAACGGTCACACATGTGTTGTCTCTGATAGATAAACCAGGTGACCAGGCTGGTTCTGAAGTATCGATAAACCATGTGGGCTTTCTCCTTACTCACTGATTCAGAATGTGGGTGTTTTTGGCTCCAGCTGCAGCTCCCAAGCCACACACCGCTGTTGTGTCCCTGGGCAAGGCACGTATCGCAGTAATCGTGTTAGCACCACAACATACTGGCCTCTCCTCACCACATCATTTCTCTTAATGTTCCCAATTTGAGGTGAAACTTCCCCCTCGCCTCAGTCGAAGCTTGTTTATACTCTGGAGGTGGAACATAAATCAGGTCGGCCTTGAATAAACACGAGGAGGAAGTGACGAGGAAATGTGTGAAAGTCCACGTTCTCAATGAACGCACAGAACACAGAGACTGAGACGGAGCTGAGGCTGAGGCTGAGGCTGAGCTGAGGCAGAGCTGAGGCTGAGGCTGAGGCTGAGACTGAGGCAGAGGCTGAGGCTGAGACTGAGACTGAGACGGAGCTGAGGCTGAGGCTGAGGCAGAGCTGAGGCAGAGCTGAGGCTGAGGCTGAGGCTGAGACTGAGGCTGAGGCAGAGGCTGAGGCTGAGACTGAGACGGAGCTGAGGCTGAGGCTGAGGCAGAGCTGAGGCTGAGGCAGAGCTGAGGCTGAGGCTGAGGCTGAGACTGAGACGGAGCTGAGGCTGAGGCTGAGGCAGAGCTGAGGCTGAGGCTGAGGCAGAGCTGAGGCTGAGGCTGAGGCTGAGACGGAGCGTTAAAAAGCTTTCTCAGAACTGACAAAGAACCTCTGGTATTTGTCATGATTGATAAAAATTATCCTACCTGTTTCTGAGGGGCATCGTTTGCAAATTAAGTATTCATGTGGCACTGAGGCTGGTCAGAATGATCAACAGAACCTGGAGTAGTGCAATCTGCTGTCACGTGGGTCATCTATGTGAATCAGAAGGTATGAGGAGTTACAAAAAAACACTAAAATAATCACCGTCTAAAACAGAGATCACAAATTTAATTTATTAGAACCACCCAAGGAGGCCAAAGTACTACTATTAGTACACAAATCATAGTTTGACAGATGTAAAACAAACTTATTTGCACATACAAACATCTAGGGTCGGGGACATGCCTCATGAGGACCTTTTCACACCCCCCGCCCCATTCCTTCATGGGGACCAATTCAATGGACTTTCACACACCGGTTCAACTCATCAGCAGTCACTCAAAGTGTGTTATGGGGACCATTTTGATGGCCATTTCACACACCCAGTTCCATTCCTCCTTTACGGGGACCAATTCCAATGGACTTACACACATGTTTAATAGAAGTCACTCAAAGTGTTTTTATGGGGACATCGTGAGGGTTCATTTGAAAGAAACATTTAAGTAAAAAGTCCTTGGGTCTGCAATGACCAAAAAAGGCTTAAAGTATTCTCCTTCCACTATTCCACTTACTGAATATAGTTTAATGAGTTACACATGACCCAAATCTTATACAATATGACTTCAAATGTTGAAAAGCTTTCTCAGAACTGACAAAGAACCTCTGGAATTTTTCATGATTGATACAAATTATCCTACCTGTTTCTGAGGGGCATCATTTGCAAGATGAACGTAATTCATGTGGCACTGAGGCTGGTCCAGGAATGATCACACAGAACCTGGAGTAGTGCAATCTGCTGTCACGTGGGTCATCTGTGTGAATCAGAAGGTATGAGGATTTACTATAAAACACTTGAATAATACACCGTCTTAAACAGAGATCACAAATTTAATTTAATAGAACCACCCAGGAAGGCCAAATTACTACCAGAAGTACACAAATCATAGTTTGACAGATGTAAAACAAACGTATTTTACACATACACACATCTAGGGTCGGGGACATGTCTCATGAGGACCTTTTCACACCCCCGCCCCATTCCTTCATGGGGACCAATTCAATGGACTTTCCACACACGGTTCAACTCCAGCAGTCACTCAAAGTGTGTTATGGGGACATTTTGATGACCATTTTCACACACTTCCATTCCTCCTTTACGGGGACCAATTCAATGGACTTTCACACATGTTTAATAGAAGTCACTCAAAGTGTTTTATGGGGACATCGTGAGGGTTCATTTGAAAGAAACATTTATGTAAAAAGTCCTTGTCTGCAATGACAAAAAAAGGCTTAAAGTATTCTCCTTCCACTATTCCACTTACTGAATATAGTTTAATGAGTTACACATGACAAATCTTATACAAATGACTTCAAATGTTGAAAAGCTTTCTCAGAACTGACAAAGAACCTCTGGAATTTTGTCATGATTGATAAAAATTATCCTACCTGTTTCTGAGGGGCATCGTTTGCAAATGACGTATTCATGTGGCACTGAGGCTGGTCAGAATGATCAACAGAACCTGGAGTAGTGCAATCTGCTGTCACGTGGGTCATCTGTGTGAATCAGAAGGTATGAGGATTTACTATAAAACACTTGAATAATCACCGTCTTAAACAGAGATCACAAATTTAATTTAATAGAACCACCCAAGAAGGCCAAAGTACTACCAGAAGTACACAAATCATAGTTTGACAGATGTAAAACAAACGTATTTACACATACACACATCTAGGGTCGGGGACATGTCTCATGAGGACCTTTTCACACCCCCGCCCCATTCCTTCATGGGGACCAATTCAATGGACTTTCACACACGGTTCAACTCATCAGCAGTCACTCAAAGTGTGTTATGGGGACATTTTGATGACCATTTCACACACTTCCATTCCTCCTTTACGGGGACCAATTCAATGGTCTTTCACACATGTTTAATAGAAGTCACTCAAAGTGTTTTATGGGGACATCGTGAGGGTTAATTTGAAAGAAACATTTAAGTAAAAAGTCCTTGTCTGCAAAGACCAAAAAAGGCTTAAAGTATTTCTCCTTCCACTATTCCACTTACTGAATATAGTTTAATGAGTGACACAAAACAAATCTAAGATAATTGACTTCAAATGTTATAAAACCTTTTCAGAACTGACAAAGAACCTCTGGTATTTTGTCATGATTGATAAAAATTATCCTACCTGTTTCTGAGGGGCATCGTTTGCAAATGACGTATTCATGTGGCACTGAGGCTGGTCAGAATGATCAACAGAACCTGGAGTAGTGCAATCTGCTGTCACGTGGGTCATCTGTGGGAAACAGAAGGTATGAGGATTTACAATAACACACTATAATAATCACCATCTCAAACAGAGATCACAAATTTAATTTAATATAACCACCCAAGAAGGCCAAAGTACTACCAGCAGTGCACAAATCATAGATTGACAGATGTAAAACAAACTTATTTGCACATACACACATCTATGGTCGGGGACATGCCTCATGAGGACCTTTTCACACCCCCGCCCCATTCCTTCATGGGGACCAATTCAATGGACTTTCACACACGGTTCAACTCATCAGCAGTCACTCAAAGTGTGTTATGGGGACATTTTGATGGTCATTTCACACACTTCCATTCCTCCTTTACGGGGACCAATTCAATGGACTTTCACACATGTTTAATAGAAGTCACTCAAAGTGTATTATGGGGACATCGGGAGAGTTCAATTTAAAGAAACATTTGAGTAAAAAGTTCTCGTCTGCCATGACCAAAAAAAGGTAAAAAATACTTTCCTTCGACAATTCCACTTACTGAATATAGTTTAACGAGTGACACATAACAAATCTAAGATAATTGACTTCAGATGTTATAAAAACATTTCAGAACTGACAAAGAACCTCTGGTATTTTGTCATGATTGATAAATATGATCTTACCTTAATCTGATAGGCATCGTTTCCAAATGACATATTCATGTGGCACTGAGGCTGGTCAGAATGATCAAGAAAACCTGTAGTTGAGCCATCTGCTGTCACATGGGTCATCCGTGGGAGACAGAAGGTATAAGGATTTATAATAAAACACTAAAATAATCATGGTCTAGAACAGAGATCACAAATTTAAATTTAAAGAACCACCCAAGGGGCCCAAGTATTACCAGCAGTACACAAATCATAGTTTGACAGATGTAAACCCAACTTGTTTGTACACACACACATCTAGAGTCTGGAACACGTCTCATGAGGACCTTTTCACACCCCTCTCAATTCCTTCATGGGGACCAATTCAATGAACTTTCACAAACAATTCCACTCATCATCAGTCACTCCTAGTGCGTTATGGGGACCTTTTTAGGACCATTTCAAACACTTCTATTCCTTCTTTACGGGGACCATTTCAACAGACTTTCACACATGATTAAACTCAACAGAAGTCACTCAATTTATTATGGGGACATTGTGATGGTTCATTTGAAAAAGGCTAAAAATATTCTACTTCCACTTATCTACTTACTGAATATAGTTAAATGAGTTAAACATAACAAATCTTATATAATTGACTTCAAATGTTAAAAAAGCTTGCTCAGAACTGACAAAGAATGGTCAGAATGATCAAGAAAGCCTGTTGTAAAGCCATCTGCTGACACGTGGGTCATCTGTGGGAGACAGAAGGTATAAGACTTTACAATAGAACACTATAATAATCTATAAGTCTAAAACAGTGCTCCAATTTTTCCAACCAAGCCCCATGTTATAAAATACTGAAATGTACCACCAGGTCTGGATCACCATGAAACAAGATAAGAGAAACTTAATTGATCTCACAGTGGAGAATCAGGGTTTATAAAGGTCTAAACTAGACTTCCTGAAGTCTACCTAAAGCCTTGTCTATAGCAGAAAACTCCAAGCTCCAAGTCATAACTAAAACAATCATACAATGTAAAATCACCACCATAGGAGGCCATTTCACACACTTCCATTCATTCTTTATGGGGACCAATGAAACAAACTTTCAAACATAGTTCAAGTCAATAGCAGTAACTGAAAGGGCATTCTTTGTATTAGGTTAGAAATAAGCAATTATTTTAAGCGTGTGTTTGTGACATACTCTTTCTCTCCATGGGCAGTCATCTCCACCATAATCATAAGTAATTTCTTCTCCTTCTTTTTTGTCTCGTAATGCTTCTTTTCATCTTACAATTTGGGTGGATGTGGTCATCATTAACAATACGCCCAAATGTGCCATCTTGTACTGAAGCATCAATGCTGAAAAAAAAGAAATATATATATTGATATATAAAAACTTTTAAACACATATAGTACATACATTATACAGTATAGTGCTACAATCACCAAGCTTACATACTCAAAGCTTACCTATATTTATCAATTCAAATTATATAATACAGAGACAGCTTTTTCAGCTAAATTTTCAAACCCCACAGACAGAGGTTTTTCTGGGCTAATTCGTGGTGCCATTTAAATCATCAAAAACTGAAACAACAGAATGCATAATTATGATTTCACTTGAGTCATTTTTTGAAACAATTCTATTACATTTGTAATTTATTTTATCTGTAGGTTTGGTACAGCTGTTTCTACTATATTACTTCCAAATATCTTCTATATCTAATATATTTTAATACATAATTACAAATCAAACCTTTACTTTCAACATTTAGTCAGGTACTCAATTAATATATTCATCCAGTACTTCAGTAACTTTTCTTTTTCCTTTCTACTTGAAGAAATTAAATATTTCTGCTATTTGACCCACTTAATTCTTAAAATAAAACTAAACAGCAAACTACTTCTTAATAAGTAAAGCCACTATAGGTTACTGCTATTACATAGAAAGCTTTAGTTGTATCATTCAGAACCTGTATATGTACTGAGAAACCTTTAGTTGCTTCTTGAAAGTACCACACACAAGTTGATTACTATACGAGCTAGTTGCTAATGCTAACAGGTTGTATATTAAAATCACATCTAATCTTGCTTAAAAAGGGAAACCATGCAAAGTAAATCACTGAATCTGTACTTATTACACAGTTTATTCGTTTTGCATGAGCATTGAACAGATACAGTCTTTAGTATAGCTACCAGCAAAGAGTACTCAGATTCTTTAGCCTGTTTACTCTGACACTAGCTTGTTAGCAAAAATCGGTGCTAACTTCCTAGCTAGCTACTTCTAGTACATAAGAAGCTCTACTTATGTAATTTAGTCACCACTCGTTTACTGCGAAGACAACTGTTCGCCATCTGAATGTCCTTTTAGAAGGGAACATTGACCCATGTGCTGTTTGGTAGAATCTGCTGTCCAAGCTAGTTGCTAATGCTAGCTCCAACAAGTTGCCAATGCTAGCTCGAACCAGTTGCATTAGTCTGTACATTAAAACCACAGCAATTCAGGCCACAAAAGTGAATTAGCAATAACTTGGTTGCTATTAAATAACATGCATATATACAATATTTGTTCTAAAATGATTGCAAATTATGCTTACCTGTCTGTTGCATTTGAAAGCAGCTGAAAACAGTTGATTCCAAGATCATCACTCTTGGGGACCAGGATGTGGGCGGTACTTAATTATATATGCAAAGTGTGTGTGGAAACCAATGTGTCTTACCAGTCATTACCACCAGAGGTGCCAATGAGCAACCACAACACACACATTAAACATCACTTACGAGCCTTCTCTAAAACTTTGCCCAGCACCTTCTAAACAGCTCCCCCATTCATCTAAATGGTTTTCCTTATGGGGACCTGGTTTTTGGTCCTCCTAAGGAAATGGGTCCCCATGGCGTGACTGTGTTAACAGATTTCAGTCCCCACAACGTGATGATTACAAGAACACACACACACAGTACACTGATACACTGTACTATCCAAAATGCATTAAACCACATTAGAACCCCCCTCTGTACTTTCTTTTATTCCTTATTGATTTGAATGTTATTTAAATACGGTGTTTTTGTATAATTCATGTGTCACCTTTGAGCCTCATGCTTCTTTTAAATACAGATTATATAGAAAAGAAGAACATTTTGTGTGTGAGGGAAAAAAGCTGCTTCCCCCTGCAGATGGAACCAGCTCCTGCTCCTCCACAGCAGGATGCTCCCCCCCGTCAGTGATGACTCAGCCCTGGTCTTTCAGCTTCAGGCAGAGGGGGGTGAGAGTGGGAGTAGACGGAGTAGGTTTCATGGGGGATCCAACCCACAACCGTTAGATCCAAAGTCTGTGTGTGTTTGAGGTGAGTAACCATCAGTGACAAGAATGACTCAGGAACTACTTTTAGCAGATGATAGTATGCACCCACCACAACGCCCAAAGGAGGATGGACACTTTTGATCAGAACTTAACATAATCGTGGTGACCCTTATGTAAAAATCAGCCTTTAAGAGATGACCACAATCACTATTTCCTCCATTTTTAGTTCTGGTTTAATCTTGTTTCAACTGTTCTCCAGTGTTTACATGTGACCTATGACAGTGGTGCTACCCCCTGCTTCTCAAACCTGTACTTTTCTTGGATCTGTTGATATTTCAGACTCTCTCTCTCTGAGGACTTGAGGACCGAGAATGGACAGGACATGTTTTTAGGGGAGACGCTACACAGGGAGAATATGCAAACTTCCGGGAGTCGCACCAGGGCTCTTTTCTGCTTTGATTCTACTCTTCTTGCTCTGACTCTACTGATAAAATTACAAATATTGTGAGTTTGTATAGACTCTGTATTTGGTCTTTCTCTGGTCTCTCTGTGTTTAGTCTCTCTCTGGTCTCTCTCTGGTCTCTCTCTCTGATCTCTGTCTTTAGTCTCTCTCTGGTCTCTCTCTCTGATCTCTCTGTCATTAGTCTCTTTCTAGTCTCTCTCTCTGGTCCCTCTGTCTTTAGTCTCTCTCTGATCTCTCTCTGGTCTTTCTCTGGTCTTTCGCTGGTCTCTTTAGTCTCTCTCTGGCCTCTCTCTGGTCTCTCTCTGGTCTCTCTCTGCTCTCTCTCTGGTCTCTCTCTGCTCTCTCTCTGCTCTCTCTCTGGTCTCTCTCTGCTCTCTCTCTGCTCTCTCTCTGGTCTCTCTGTATTTAGTCTCTTTCTGGTCCCTCTCTCTGGTCCCTCTTTCTTAAGTCTCTCTGGTCTCTCTCTGGTCTCTTTCTGGTCTCTCTCTGTTCTCTCCCTCTGGTCTCTCTGGTCTCTCTCTGGTCCTCCCTGATCTCTCTGTGTTTAGCCTCCCTGGTCTCTCTCTGGTCTCTCTGTATTTAGCCTCTCTGGTCTCTCTCTCTGGTGTCTCTCTGGTCTCTCTCTGGTCTCTCTCTGGTCTCTCTCTGCTCTCTCTCTGGTCTCTCTGTATTTAGCCTCCGTGGTCTCTAAAGAGGCTCAAAGCAGGACTCAAATGCATCCACCTGAGACGTGGGGAGGGAGGGGTAGTAATGAAAGCACTTACTGTCTTTAATCTGGAGCTGGGGGTGAGGGAGGGTGAGGGAGGGTGAGGGAGGGGAGGGAGGGAGGAGAGGGAGGAATGTGCAGTATTTATATGTTAGTAGCAGCAGCGTGTCTGTGCAGAACCTCAGACTGAGACTCACTGTGTCATCACCGTAATTATACCATCGAGCTGAGTGTGTGTTTGTCATCACAGCCAACAGCTCCTTATCAGGCTGTCTATCTATGGTCTCTCTCTGGTATCTCCCTGGTCCCTCCCTGGTTTCTCTCTGGTCCCTCTCTGGTCTCTGTCTCTACTCTCCTTCTGTTCTCTCACTGATCTTTCTGGTCTTCCTCTGGGCTTTATCTCGGGTCCCTCCGGTCTCTCTGTTCTCTCTGGTCTCGCTCTCCGGTCTTGGTATCCGGTCTTGCTCTCCGGGTCTCACTCTCTGGTCTCGATCTCTGGTCTCGCTCTCTGGTCTCGCTCTCTGGTCTCGCTCTCTGGTCTCGCTCTCTGGTCTCGCTCTCTGGTCTCGCTCTCTGGTCTCGCTCTCTGGTCTCGCTCT